TTCACAAAAGATATTGTCTGTCATAGAGCTGTTACCCCTGCTGTTACCAGGCTCTCTACAAAAGCTGTTGTCTTGCTGTTGTACTATTACTGCTGTGCTGCAGTTTGAAGACAAAAGGAGCATTATCTCTTTCTTCATAGCACACAGCAGTGCAATAAGATCATGATTGACTGGATTGCTGACAAAGCCTTCTCACAGTCCTAAGTGCTAGCCTAAGTGCTCTGACTAAATGAAGATAGGGGTCATTTCCAAGAGAAAAGAAAAGAAAATAGGAAAAATTATAACAGTTATATTGGACAGCAGTATAGTTGATTGCCGCATGCCTCAGGATTTCTGTTTTTTCATTAGTTGATGACTGCAAATATAATTGTCTTAATTGTGATGTCACTCAGATGGCATCATGCCATAAAAAGTTCACCCCCCATAGATATAACTCTTGATACTCCTGAGTCCTCACCTTTTGTATCACCTTTTCCAGTTCTTCTTCATCTATATCTTCTTGCAAAAAATAAAAAAGGTCCCCCCTCATGTGAGGCAGATTGCTACTCTCAGTTTTCTTGCCTTTCTCATTCTTGACATCCTCCTCAAAGAAGACAGCAGATGGAGCATAGGAACTCTCCTTATCTTCTGGTGGTCAGACTGTTGTTCTGCTGCTCTGGCTGAGTGCTGGGATCAGCAATGGGGCCTAAGGTGTCAGAAGGACTGTGATAGGCAGAGACCAGCTGACTACTAATATGTTCATTATATCAGTTTCCCCCTATTGCTCTCACCACCTTCACTCACTTGCAATAGAGCTGGATGTTTTGCCTGTATCCATCATCAAGTAACTGCTCAACCACTTGGCTCCTGAGAAATCCTCAGAGTGCATGGGTGGAGATATGAGCAGTCCCAGAGACTCATAGCTTGTAGTGTCCAAGAATGGACTCATCATCTCCAAACATGGTGTCAATGCTGGAGGTTTATCAGGAAGGGGGACACTGGGGAGTTGGAGAGTGTGGGAGAGACTCAGGGGTTCTGCCTTCTGCTGTGAGGGTCTTGTATCTCCAGCAGTTCTTGCTCCACTAGCTGGACTCAGTACTTAGCTCTCTGAAGACCAGGGTGGAGAGGGATGGGTCAGTGTATATCAGAGCAAGGCACTTATTGCAGAGCCAATCTAAGGATATTCTTCTCATCCCACCACTTATTCTGACTGAGTGTGAGAGGGTAGAGGCAGGGCTATGAGACTGGCCTTGAGGTGATGCTTGGCAGGATCTTGTAGCCAGCCGAGTGGCATTGAGAGAATCTCTGGTATAGTCAGCAATCTCTCTGGTTTGAGAGGTGTTACAATTTTTTCTTTTTTCTTTTCTTTTTCCTTCAGAAATGACTCTTATCTGTGCTTAGTCAGGGCACTTAGGCCAGTGCTTAGGACTGTGGGAATGCTTATCTCAGCAACCCAGTCAGTCATTGTCTTATCACACTGCTGTGTGCTGTGAAGAGAGAGACAATGCTCTTTTTGTTCCTCAATTGCAGTGCAGCAATAACAGCACAACACCAAGACAACAGCTTTTGTGGAGTGCTTGGCAATAGCAGGGGTAACAGCTCTATGACAGACAATATTTTTTATGAACAGCTATTAATAGCCAGATAACAGAACAGTATTTAAGTAGCATCATTTTTGCTGTAGTAGTTCCAGCATTAAGCTAAAGTTTATTCTTCACTATCTACTCCCGAGCTCAAGCTTCTTGTGCCTTGAACCACTACTGCTATTAACTTTGTGAACTCAGTCAGTCTAACCTGAAGTGTGAGGTTCTGAACTGTTTATCATGTGTTGATAGTCATGTGGGATTTGGGCTTAACAATTAGCTTAACACTTATCATTCCCTTTCTCAAGCCCAATTATGCTGAGGAACTGAATGCCCTCTGCTCTTAACCCTTCTGACCCAAACTTTACCTACAAGTTCTCCAAACTCTTGGCTTCCATCATAGGAATCTTGATTGGTCTATTGGTAATCATACAGCTGTGCTATAGACACCAATCAATCATAGCTTAGACAATCAGGCACTATCACAAATTCCAATGCATCCAAACCATTCTCTGCAATATCACACCAGATCTCCTCCTCCACAACATTCTTGCCTCTGCCTGACAGTCTTTCCAACCCATAGAAGGAATAGACTCTAAAAACATCTCTGGAAGCTTGACTCAGAAACATCCTAGGGAAGAAGAGGAGCAGTATCAGCAGCACACATACCCCCCATGACCCCCATCTGCAATTGTCTGAGATCCTGAAAACCCTTGGGCTACAGAGTTTTGACAACCCTGACCTGACATCTCTGACCTGCCCTCTGAGCATAGTATCTCAGCAACAAGGATGACAAGCCTCATCCCTAGCATCAGCATTGGACACTGTGCTAAAGACTCCTTGGATGCCTCACAGATGGCTCGAAGAACTATGGGTCCTGAAGATCAACATCAGCATAAAGCAGAAGTACTGACCACAGGACAGAGGTCGATAATGACCCCTATTGGAATGATGACAGCAATGAGTGCCACTGGTGGCAAACTACTGCCATTGAGGCCAACCAGTTGGAACACCATGCAGTTAATGGTAATACTGGCAGAACAGAAGGCATATGAACAGTTTCAATAGGAACACAGCCAACCCCAGCCCTCCCTTTGGTCCTCTCCAGAGAGGACCAAATTCGATATGCCTAAAACCTTCCCAAGTACAGGCAGGAGCAGGCATGCATTGACAATGAGATCACAAGGGAGAATGCTCTCTTTGGGTGGTACCTCTGGGCATGAGCAGCAGAGAAGCATTGAAGGAATGAGGGAGGTAGTCAGACTACCACAGCCATTGAAACAACCACCTCCAACTCCCCATTCTGAGAACTGACCACTTCCACCACTGAGTCCAACCCCTGGGCAGACTCCATCAGAAATGAGGCCTCGGGTCACCTCAGCAACAGCTGCCTGTTATCATATGAGACCAATACCATCGCAGACACTGACAATATTCACATATCAGAAAACAGGATACCAGAGGACAAAGGAACTATTGAAGGAGATGATGAAAGTATCAACCCCACCAGTGATCTCAAGAAGTTCCTTGATGGAAACTTTGCAGCCCTATTCCTCAATCCAAAGTTTTACAGAAACTTCCACCAGTATTGCAGAGCAATGGTGCCAACAACAACAAGCATCAAGGAGCCACCAGAGCAGCCTGAGCAGCCTGCTCCTTGACTTGGATCCAATGACACCAGTCCCAGCATGCAATCTCAGTCCAGCTGACCCAAAGGTCTTTAACCCACATGACAGTTCTCTCCTAGAGGAAGAGAAGGCAACTGACATGGATGACAAGGACAAGGGGGAGGACCTCAGTCAGGAAGCCAAGGATCCTCTCTCTGAGTGGAAGGCGGGATTTAAGCCCCTAACAAAAGAGGAGTTGTGACAGAAAGAGCATGAGGCATGAGAAGAGGATTTCACTTGGTTGTACCAGGAGCAGATAGCTGAGTTGTGGAAGGATGACCTCTGGTTGAGGTCATCCATGGGATAAAGATATGTCTCTGCCAATTTTATCAAGCAAGAGGAAATTTTACAATATATGATCACCAAGCAAGCTATTTTTAATTTCAAGCAAAGATATTTACATTATCAGATGGGACTGTTGCTGCCATACAAGCTGGAATATGGCAGAAGAGAGGCACCCAAGCCTTGGATGCCAAATGTAATGCCACTCAGATTGGCATACACTGCACCATCAATTCGATCAACAACATCATAATATTTGTTCACCATATCGGCCATTTGCAGTTTAGCATCTCAGCTGTTCCAATATTGACCCAAGCCAAGTAGCCACTTCCCAAATCCATGGAGGTTCCCAGTTCAGTGACCATTTGCCAGACAACTGCCATCTGATGAAGCTGAAGGCAGTGGAGCAGCCTCTGTAGCTCTGGAAGGAGATAATCCTGATGCTACAGCCCAAGGATGGACCATCCAGAATAGGCAGATCATATGGAAGAAGCCTCCCCTGTCAGGAAGTCCTGTGGCTGATGACAGATCCCTGCATTTATTCTCTAGTCTGTCAGAAGGATGGGCAGGTCCACCTGGAGGTGTGCCTCTGAACCCAATGCCTCCTATCGCCACAGGAATGCAAATTTTAAAGGTCATGCTGACCTTGGTACAGGATCCACTCCTCTTTAAAGGGGCTTCAGATGACATTGATCAATTTCTTATGGACTGTGATCAATATTTCCAAGTATTCATCTCATACTTCCTACTCGATATATACAAGGTGATATATACTTTGACTTATCTGAAAGATAAGGCAAAGGTATAGTGGGTGCTTCTCACCCCTGCTTTCTGATTGATCACATGATAACATCACCATTACCCCTCATGGCCAGTATTCAAACAAATGATCCAAGACAAGTTTATGGATCCAGCCATCCAAAAAGTCTACAAACAGAAGATGAAGGACTACAAAATGGGCAACAAGGTGGCTACTGACTACTTCAACAAGTTGGAATGACTCAGAAAGCTTGCTGGAGTATGGGAGGATGTAGCTGATACTGGACAAATGGTCGAGTATATAAAATAAGAACTATTGTCCTCCT